TCCTCGTGCCCCAGGCAGCGCACGGCGGGACGGGCCCAACTGTCACGGGCCGCCAGACACCGTCGCTGGGCCCAGGAAAGAGCTAGGAGGACAGCCGAGTGCACACGCACCCCTCGACCTCTCGGGAGTGGTCTCTTCCCTTTTGCTTCACTCGCACCCCTTCCGGTTCCCCTGCCTTTTCTCACTCGCCGTAGCTCGGCCGCCACCTGGGTCTCACGTGACACTTGACTCCCCTCACGTGATGCGAGAAGGGCCGAGCTCAGCCGCTTCTCCCCAGCCTCAGAAGCGTCACAGTGAGCGCGCCTGCGCAGTGGACGCCTAGCGCGCTCTTCCCACTGGGAACCTTATTTTGCCATTGGTTCTGGAATTGGAGGCGTGAGTGCAGAGAGGTTTCCGCCTTTGTTTCCCTCTCATAGTTTCCCCACCAATGGAGCCTAAAAAGCTACTGCTGCTACTGCGGAGCTACATAGTCTCGGCTCTATGATGTTCAGTCCTGCCCTGGAAGAGCTTCTGAAGGAGCGAGGTAACAGTCCGAGGAAAAGTATTGCGCGTGCGTAGCAGGTGGGCGCGCACCGATGAGATGCTCACTGCGCATGTGTGCCTGGAGGGTTTCCCTGCAGCGAGGGAAACCTGGCCTCCTCGGGAAGGGGTGGTGTCGCTTTGGTGTACTCTATACACGCTCCCGGCTTGGCTGTGGATTTGGCAACTCTTTGCAGTCCACACGGACTCTGGGTCATTTCTGCGGGTACACTGGGAGGTTTGGGGCAGGGTAAGCCCTGCGTCAGATTTCATATCCTCACTCAGTCAAAATAGGGTTTTAGACTTATTGAGTCCCATGATTAATCTCTTTTGTTTAATTTCAGTAGAATTTAACAGCAGGGTTTCAAATATTTCCATTTTCGTCCTCATAACGCAGTCTTTCCCGACAAGCTCAGAACTGCTACTGAGGAGGAAAATACAATTTCAAAATCCTTTTCTTGGTAAATCAAAGTTATTAATAAGAATGTACAGTTGTTCTTCTGCAGTCCCTAAGTGTCTGTTCTGACTTGCTACCTATGTCATTGTTTCTGATCTGATCCTACCTGTTCTCTCTTGAGTACCCTGTCTTATTACAGATTGACTTTTTCATCTTCTTTGATTTCTCCTGTACTCCTGAACTGTACTTGTCATGAAGTCACAGCCAAATATCTTTAAAATTCTTTTTTCTGTTATGTATAGTCAATAGTATTTGTATTGTGCTTAATCATGAGGTCTTCCATCAAGAGTTGCTTATGAAAGTGCTCTTCTTTTTAAGGCAATTAACTGTAGAATGGAAAGAAAATGCTGTAGGCGTCCTGGTCTGTGGTCCTCAATGATGTATACATTCCTCCTGGGTGCGGTTTTCATTGCTTTAAGCTCAAGTCGCATTTTACTAGTAAAATATTCTGCCAATGAAGGTAAGTTGAGGTGCACAGTACAGGTGGAACACTTAATCGCACATTATGTTTTCTGTCATTGCTTTCCTTAGTTATAAAATGGAGACAATATCTTGTGAATCACTTTGCATCATGTGAATGATAAAACATGTTTACGTTTTATTTAAACTTTCTTCTGCAAGAAGTATTTTGAGACTGGATGAAATTTGAGTTAGACAAGTTCAAAATCAAACCCTTCGTACAGAAAATATATCAATATCTGATTACTGCTTCATCCAACAGATGTTTCTGCGTCTGTGGCAAAATGTATAATTACAATTTAATTTGAAATTAAATCACTTGGCGTTTGTGAGGTACTATTGTAATTTGTGTGTCAGTACAGATGAGAAGACTTTGTAACAATGTGCTCAACTTTTTTTTAATGTAAGGATTTAAGTAAATGCTTCAATTCCACAAAACTATATTGAGTACTTCTCGCTAGTACTGTTTACAACACATTAAAATCATATCAAACTTGAAGTGTGGCTCAGTGGTAGAGCACTTGCCTACCATATACAGGCCCTGAGTTCAATCTCCAGCACCCCAAAGGGAACAAAAAACGAAATTAGTGAAAACAATCATGATGTCACGATTCTTAATGGTCTGCTTAGAAAGTAACATGTATGTGTAACTCTCAGTTTCAGTTAACATGTACCTGTCGGGCCCTAAGTGAAGTAGTAGTAGAGCTCAGAATGCATAAGACATAGACTTTGTAAGAACTAGAAAAGACGTACTTGTAAATACATCGTAAAAGAATTATAGTAAGTGCATTAATAGAAGTACGTTAAAGATGCAGAACAGAGACATGAATAAGCAGGATATGTTGTGTGAACTTGTCATTCAGAATTACTGAGAAAAACTTTAAGGACCTATAGGAGAGAGAAGCAGTACTTGACCAGAGAAGGAAGTAATGGTCAGATTGTTAAGGACTTCATTTACCATGCTTTATTACCTAGGCCTTAGTGTCTGGAGGATAAATAAGAAACTATACTAGTAGCTGATTGGTAAAGGAAAAGACTGGAAGCAAGTTAGCAAGTTAAGGGGTTATTGTAGAGTCAATCCACAGATGATGAAGACTAGTTTAGTACTATAGGAAAGGAAAGGAAAGAGTCAAAAAATATGACATAGAAAAGATGTGATTTGGACAATTATTGAATGTAAGGATCAAAGCAAATAAAATATTGGCTACCTGAAAGTTTCTGGTTTGAGTTATAAGTGGATCGATAATGCTTTCAGTTGAGATGGGAATTATTAGGAGGAAGAGTAGGTAGAACCAATTTTGGAGAAATTATAGTTTTAACTAGGTACATTCCATTTGGCCACAAACTGTGTCTTTGTTCACTGAAATTTCCTACAGTGTCTACCAATTCATGCACCTGAAGGAAATACTGATCAAATGAGTAAATACAAGGTAGTTATATGTATATATTTAGTGAACAGTAGTGTAAATGTTCCAGAATATAGATTTGTGTACATTAATATTAAGTCGACATTTAATACCCTAGGATTTGAGGGCTCATGCGGAATGAGATAATAGTGGAAGTGACAAATTCCAAAGCATGCCAACATTTAAGTGCCATGCCAATGCTTAGAACATAAAGAAGAAATTGTTAGATGAGAGAACTAAATGTACATGATTCATAGAAAGGACAATTTGTAAGCAAAGAATTGCAACATCACAATGAGGATTAAAATATGTCCTTTAGAATTAGTAATCTCAGTAAGTAGATATTTTGAGTACAGTGGTGGAATCAGAAACAAGATTGCTTAAGGCTAAGGCCTTATGGAAAGAAGAAGGTTCAGTAGAGGGGTGATATCTTAAATTTAGATAGAGGTTTGAAAATGTTGAGAGGAAGCTACTGGAGATACAGTAAAGTCAAAGGGAATGTTTATTGTGTTCCCTGAGAAAGGAGTGTTCAAAGGGGAGAATGGGTAATAGTAGACATGGCCCCTTTTTCTAGACTGAGTGGAAACCAATAAAGTTAGATGAGTGGACCAAAGTCACACATGCTTGCAAAAGGGGAATAATGGGGAAAGTTGAGCAAGCAATTGTTTAAAATCAAGTATACATTTATTAAGTGGGTAATAAGTGTAGGACACTAAGGTACAGATATATGAAGGTAACCAATGCTGTCCCCTTTCTCATATAGAACTTAGGTAACCAACCTGGTCCCTTTCTTGTGCGGAACTTATATTCAAAGGGTAAAATATTTTATCTACATAAAAGGTAATTATCGTACAACGTGAAAAGTACTAGTATAGAGGTAAATCAAGGATTCTGTGTAGATTGAGAAGGTTAAAGGAAATTCAAAAAAAAAAAGGGAAGAAAAAGTATTCTGGAGAGAGAATGTCAAGTTGCCTTGTCCTTGGCTGATTTGAGTTTTAATATAACCAAGAGATCAAATGTTTTCCAAAGGAAGGCAAATAACATTCCTGAAAATAGACCCAATAAAGTTCATATTTGTTTTTGACAAAATTATAAAGCAGTTGTTTATAAGCATATACAAAAGACAGGTAAGCAAAACTCCTTTCTTAATTCATTTGACGTTCTAATTAGGACACAGTTTCCCAGCTCATCAGTGGGCTTAGATGGCTCAGAGTATTTTTCCCAGACCTAGAAGTGGTGAAACCCTGTGCCAGTTGCCAATTGCCTGTGCTTCATATGTCTTTCTTCCTTATTGCAACACACTGTTTATCACAGAGAATCAAACACTGTTAATGTTTTCTGTGTGTACCATGACATGAAATAGATTAGAAAATTGTGAATTAAGGAAATAATTACAGATAAAGTGTACCTTGATTTTTAGCAAGGCATACATCTCAGAAGAATCATAAACTGATAATTCAGCAGATAATATTCACAACTGAATTCATAATTCAGAGCTGAATATTGATGAATGGTTAATTTAGAAAACAATCTCTAATGCCTTGCCACAGGGCTTTCTTTGATGTTGGTCCTCAACAGATTTATTTGTAGCGTGTTTACCAAACTCAAGGACAATAAAAAACTAAATAAATACGTTAGATGAAATGATTCAAAAGAGCAAAGCTAACTGGAAGAAATTTAATATAATTTTTTTTTTAGACATTGACTTTAGTCCAGGCTGGCCTTTAATTCACAATCTTCCTATACAGCCTCCTGAGTGCTAGGATAAATCCAGCATGGTGTGTGTGTGTGTGTGTGTGTGTGTGTGTAATGGGGTACTATAGATTAAACCCAGGGACTTCACATTGAGCTACATCTCTAGACCTTTTCTCAGTTTTTTTATTTTGAAACAGAGTCTCACTAGGTTGATAAGTTGCCCAGGCTGAGTTTAAACTTGCATATTCGTGCCTCAGCATGCCGGAGTGCTGGATTTACAGGCATGTGCTGTCACACCCAGCTAAATCCAGCTTTTAATGTTCAAAACAATTAGAAATTTTTAGCTGTGTAGTAATCATACAGAATGAAATTAATAGTTAAAACGACATTTCTCTTACATTTCAGAGAACAAATATGATTATCTTCCAACTACTGTGAATATCTGCTCAGAACTGGTGAAGCTCGTTTTCTGTGTGCTTGTATCATTCTGTGTTATAAAGAAAGGTAAGTCTTGAAATGATACCAAATGCCTACTAAAGATCACAGAATCTGAAAACATGAGAACTGAGAGGAGCATTTTACTTCATTTAGTCTAGTTCATTAATTTAACAACTGAAGAACCTAAGACACAGACATAAGTATGTTTTAAAGGTGAAGAAACCAGCTCAGACCAACTGATATACTGAGAGCTGTGTTGGAAGGGGTGAAGCTAAGAAACCATCCCACGTTTCCCAATGTCCTGCCCATCACTCTGCCTTATCACATGTTTTCTGTAATGGTTTCACACAGCAAGTTAATTTTAATTCAAATTCAGAATTTTCTAAATAACTTTGCTGTTTGATTTGAAATGGAGTATATTGCAAAACAATTCCCATTTCCTACATGGAATGCAGTATAGTATACTAAAGTTGGAGATTATATTCTGAGGTAGAACTATTAAATAGGGATACTAATCCCTTCTTCAAATATACAGCTTTTTTATGGAACATATAGGTCTTTATGATTATTACCTTTCCACCTCATTTCCTCAGTTTTGAGCCCTTAGCTCACTACCTCTTTGTCTTCTCATATGAGGTAAGCATAAAATTTAAAGCATTAAAGTGCTTACCTAAAAATATGTGTTTTCATCCTCAACAGAGTATCACAAGCCATGTGGTTTCTGTTAATGGAATGGATTTCAATCTGTGTAGAGTTTCTAGTTAGATGAATACATTTCTTGATTTCAGGAAACTTGCATTTTTGCGGAACTTAAACTTACCTGCCTTTTGTATGCTTTCATTTTATATTCTATTACAATATGCCTTTCTAAGCCTTAGAAAAATCTAGAGCTCAGGGCCAGGGATTTAGCTCAGCGGTTCGGTGACCTGCCTTGCAAACGCAAGGACCCAAGTTCAATCCCTGGTACCAAAAAAAAAAAAAAATCTAGAGCTGAGATAATAACTCATGCTAGGATTAGTAAAAGTTAATTGTCTCTAGTTCCATATATACACATTTCCATTTGTTAATTATTTCCTTTGCTGGTGTTTTTGGGAGCAAAGGGCAGCATAAAGACAATATTTTTTTCTATTTATTCTAACATGTTGATCTCCCTCTTGCTCTGGTGCTCTCAAGAGTAGTAGTAAAAACTGCATGTGTATTCTTAGGCCTTAAATGATATTACTACTGTTTTAAGTTAACAGGCATTAGGATGATCAGTATTTGTAAGGATGTTGCTAATTATTAGTGATAGGACATAGAAGTGGTTTAGAGACAGAATAATAAAATTTTGCATTATCTTCTATTATTTTAGGCTGGAAGGCAAATTTATAAAGTATCTTTTAAAGGATTGTATTTGTAATCAAACGTAATGTACTTTCTCTAAAAATATAAGCATTCTCATCAATATTATTTATTTATTCCTAAATTTCTTTCTTTAGAAGATCATCAAAGTAGAAATTTGAAATGTGCTTCCTGGAAGGAATTCTCTAATTTCCTGAAGTGGTCCATTCCTGCCTTTCTTTATTTCCTGGATAACTTGATTGTCTTCTATGTCCTGTCCTATCTTCAACCTGTAAGTAAATATGACAGAAATGCCACTAGAAAGATACAGAGAAATGAGTTCCAGAAAAAAGTCCCAGAATTGCCTGAATTCCTGAATTCCTCATTTGCTTGCCAGATCCTCTTACTATTAAAATTTACTGTAGTAAACTCGGCTGTGTGGGAGTTTCCCACTGGGTGAGGAATCTGAAGCCAACCCTCTTTGTGTAACCTTAATCAAGTTTCCTATTTTCTGAGTCATCCTTTGACCAACCTCTGTTCTCAATCTCAACAGTTAGGATCTCCAAGCAGACTTCCATGATTAACTCAAAAAATTATCCACTCAATGGATCTCTTTCTTACATCTGTTAATATAGTTTATGCTTTTTATTTGTATGGTTTTCTTATTTTAATTTTATCCTTTAACCAGCAATTTCTTTGAGAGTAGGATTGCATCCTCCCAATTATAAAAGCCATCTATAACTGATAATCTTATCTCTCTCAAAATCTTTTGAGTCAATTTGGGAAGCATTAGTAATCAGAATTGGAGTTAGTTCTTTTTTTACTGTTACTCAGTTTGTGTCATGTGTACATTTCTCATAGTTTACAAAATGAAGATTTTTAGTACCTTTTTTACCAAAATGCATTCTAAGTTTCTTTAAAAGGTAAAATTAGACATTTTAACTATGAATAGGACTTTTATTGTGGCCAATCCTCTCTGTGAAACTCCTTAAGTATAACCAAATCAGTTTTAGAACAAAAAAAGGGGCTACTAGGAAACAGGAGTTTGACACTTTTCCACAATTTAGAACCTGTGTAACTAGACAGGCTGCAGCTGCTGTAAAGTTCAGACATCTAAAGAATAATATTAATAACAACAACAACAATAACAATAATAATACAGGTGAAAGTCAGGACCTGGGCCACTTGATCACCTGAAGTTCCTTCCAGCCATATGATCAACATTGGCAGTAAATGCTCAGTCCATCTAGAATGTGTCCTCGCCTAAATTCTTATTTCCACTTTGTTTTTTTAAGTCTGAGAATTCCCATATCCAATGAACATAATTATTCATACTTAATAAATAAATGTTTGTTGAATTTTTTTTATTAGGACATCTTTGATGAACTTGCATTTTGCAGCCATCTTGAGGGGTTTTTCCTTTTTTCCTTTTCTCTCCCTCCCTCCTCTTTTCGTTCCCCTTTTCCCTGTTCATTCTTGTTGATATTGTTAATCTTATTTATGTTTATAGCATATAATGTTCACATTAATTAAGCTTATTAGGACCTTATACATGGCTTATCTTCTGTTGTATTTTTTTGTATCTAGCAGATAGATTACTTTTATATTTATACCCCTTTCCCGCAACCCCATTACCAAAACAGAATTGCATTTTCCTTATTTTTCTTTTGTATTTTTTGCAGCTCATCCTTCCTGATTCTGTACAACCACAGATACTCCAAAACATGTGGCATACTCTATATTATTTTTAGTCATTTAAGGAATTAGAGATACATGGGTATTTGGGGGCAAAGCTCAGATATTTGATTTAGTCACAATGTTACATAAAAAGAGTTTGAAGAATTCATCAAGCTAGCCAGGCTAGGTGTATTTGTACTGCACTTAATGTTACTCTGAGTCACTACTTCCCTACTCTCATCAGCCACTTTCCTCAGTCTTTTCCTATTCATCCCTTAACTGGGTGTTTACATGCGTTTGTCTTCCAGAGACGTACACAGAAAACAATTCAGAGGGCCAGAGATTTAGCTGAGTGGCACCATGCCTGCCTCACAAGCTCAAGCTCCTTAGTTCAATCCCCGTACCAAATAAAAAGAAAATAATTCAGAGTCTCCCAACACAAAGAAATGATAAATGGTTAAGAAAATAGAAATGCTAATTACTTGATTTGATCATTATACATATCTCTATTAAATTATTATACTTTATACCCTGTAACTGTATAATCATGTGTCAATTAAAATTTTTCAATTTATAAAAACTTCAGTAGAAATGCAGTGGTTTTATATTGTTGGAAATATTTTCGTTTTTATGGTATTCTTTTGTTTTTCTTTAGTTACAAATTAGCCATGTTTGCTGTTGTACAACAATATTCTATGGAGTTTAACCAACTTAAAGCAACAGCAAGGATGCAGGAATAATTTATGCTAAGAATTATTAATATTGCTGAAATTTTCTTGTAATATAAGTAAACTTAACAGTACTACACTACTGTTTACCATAGCAGCAGTATTAAATGTCTGTGAAATAGTTTCAGAGCCTGAAAAGTTGCTTCATAAGCATGGTTACTGTTATTTCTAGATCTTAACCTTTAGAATTTGTAAGTATTTCCAGACCTACACACAAAGTATATTTATACAGGTGATGCTTGAACTTAAGCACATATTTTCAAACCCTGCACAATTATGTAATCATGTCTGTATAAATTTAACAAGCAATAAAAAATGGAATTTGATACTCTCATGAAATACCTGCCCTAATAACTCCTCTGGTTTTGACTAAAAAGCTTTTTTGTCAGATAAACTAGCAGGCTGAAAGATTTCTGAGGTTAGTCATTGTTTGAATTGTAACTTTGTCTTCTCTTTCTTTTTAGGCCATGGCTGTTATCTTCTCAAATTTTAGCATTATAACAACAGCTCTTCTGTTCAGAATAGTACTAAAGTAAGTAACTTGATGTGAAAGCATATATCATTCATTTTTTTCCCCATTAAGTTTATTGGTACCTTTTAGGTATACATTATGATCGCATTCACCATTGAGAATTTGTACCTTCACCTAATATATCTTGGTTCATCTTTTTTCCCCATTCCCCTTCCTACCCCATCCATCCTTCCCTATTTACAGAACTTCTCTTTCCAATTTTTCCTTCTTTTCTTATATTTTTTCTTTCCCTTCTTTCTTCCCCCTCACCTCACTACTTCCCCTTCCATTTTGGACTTTTTTTTTCCTATTTTACATTATTTATTATACATATTTACTCATCTACTTTCACCTTCTCATACCAGAGAAACTACTCATTATTTGCACGTGTCCTATTTATTTCACTTAAGAGTATCACCTCAGTGTGCATACATTTAGCTGGGTGTCAAATGGTACCTCTAATCCTAGTTCCTTGAGGAATCTCCACACTGATTTCCACAGTGGTTGCACCAGTCTGCACTCCCACCAACAATGGAGAAGGGTTCCTTTCTCCCCACATCCCCGCCAGCATTTGTTGTTGGTTGATTTCTTGATGGCAGCCATTCTTTCTGGAGTAAGATGGAATCTCAGTTGTGTTTTTATTTGTATCTCTTGAATAATCAGTGGTGTTGAACATTTCTTCATATGTTTATTTGCTGTTTCTACTTCTCCATCTGAGAAATGTCTATTCATTTCAGAAGCCCATTTTGGATAAGGTCTTTAAATTTGGGAGTTCTGACTTTTTTAAGTTCCTTATATATTCTAGATAGTAGACCTTTGTCTGCAGAACAGCTAGTAAAAATTTTTTCCTACATTGTAGGTTGCCTCTTCACTCTCTTAGTTCCTCTTTCTGTGAAGAAGCTTTTTAATGAGATGAAATCCCAGTTATTGATTCTTTGTGCTAGTTCATGTGTGACTGAGGTTTTATTCATAGAGACTTTTCCTACACCAATGTCTTTAAGAATTCTACCTAACCTATCTTCCAGCAAGTTTAGTGTTTCTGTTTTACTATTTAGATCTTTGACCCATTTCAATTTTAATGTAGTGCATGGTGAAATTTATGGGTCTGGTTTTAACCTTTGGCAAGTAGAAACCCAGTTTTTCCAGCACTATTTATTAAAGAGGCTATCTCTCCTCCAGTGAGGGTGTTTGGCTCTTTTGCCAAAGATGAGGTGGCTTAGTATTTCTGGAGTTGTTTCTGCATCCTGTAATCTGTTCCATTGGTCCTCAGGTCCATTTCTTTGCCAGTACCATGCTGATTTTTTTTTTAATTTATTAATTTTATTGAGTTTATTGGTACATTTTAGGGATACAGTACAGTTACATTCATTGTTGAGATCATGTACCTCTACATGGCAAGTCTTGATTCTCATTTTTTCCCCTTACCTCTGCCCTCCCCTCACCCCCTCCTCCCCTCCCCATCTACAAACACTTTATTTTCATCTTTTCATTCTCTCACATTTTTTTCTTTTCCCTTTTTGTTCTTCCCCTACCCATCACACCTTCCCTGCACCTTTAGCTCCTTTCTTCCCATTTCTAAATGTCAGTAATCTTATTAGAATCTTATGCATTGTTGCAGAATATTCACACCAGGGAAACTATTCGGTATTTACACATGTGGGACTTATTTATTTCACTTAGGAGTATATCTTCAATATGTATCCATTTTCCTATGAATGAATCTATTCTCTCGCTCTTTATGGCTGAGTAATATTCCATTTTATAGAAAAACCACAACTTCTTTATCCAGTTTCCAACGGATGGGCAAATAGGTTGTTTCCAAGATTTAGCTATTACAAACTGTGCCGCTATAAACATGGGTGCACATACTTCTCTGTGATATGATTCTTTTAGTTCTCTTGGAAAGATACCCAACAGAGGGATGGCTGGGTCAAATGGAACCTCCAGTCCAAGCTCTTTGAGGTATCTCCATATTGATTTCCATAGTGGTTGCACTAGTCTGCACTCCCACCAACAATGGAGGAGGGTTCCTTTCTCCCCACAACCCCGCCAACATTTGTTATTGTGTGATTTCTTGATAGCAGCCATTCTTTGTGGGGTGAGGTGGAATCTCAGTGTTGTTTTCATCTGCATCTCTCGAATGACCAGTGATGTGGAACATTTTTTCATATATTTTCTTGCTGCTTTCACTTCTTTGTATGAGAAATGTCTGTTCATTTCGGATGCCCATTTTTGGATCGGGTCTTTATATTTGGGGGGACTGATTGTTTTGAGTTCTTTATATATCCTTGATAATAGTCCTTTGTCTGAGGTACAGCTGGTAAAAATTTTTTCCCACATTGTAGATTGTCTCTTAGTTCTGCTAATGGTTTCTTTTGAAGTACAGAAGCTTTTTAGTAAGATGAGATCCCAGTTGTTGATTCTTTCTGCTAGTTCCCGTGCTACTGAGGATTTGTTCATAAAGTCTTTTCCTATACCAATGTCTTCCAGAGTTCTGCCTAACTTACCTTCCAGCAAGTTTAATGTTTCTGTTTTAATATTTAGATCTTTAATCCATTTGGATTTTAATTTAGTGCATGGCGAAAGATAAGGGTCTAATTTTAATCTGTGGCAGGTTGACATCCAGTTTTTCCAACACCATTTATTAAAGAGGCTATCTTTCCTCCACTGAGGATGGTCAGCTCCTTTGTCAAAGATGAGGTAGCTGAGTACATCTGCATTTGTTTTTGTGTCTTCCAGTCAGTTCCACTGATCCTCAGGCCTATTTCTTTGCCAGTACCATGCTGTTTTTATCACAGTGGCTTTGTAGTATAGTTTCAAATTGGGAATTGTTACACCTGGTGCCATGTGACTGTTGCCTATAATGGCTTTTACTATTCTAGGTCTCTTGTGGTTCCAAATGAATTTTTGGATTCTTAACCATGCTGTTTTTATCACAGTATCTTTGTACTATAGTTTCAAGTAGGGGATTGTCTTTGTTGCGTAGAATTGTTTTTGCTATTCTGGATTTCTTCTGGTTCCAAATGAATTTTTGGATTGTATCTCTAATTCTGTGAAATATGTTGGTGGAATCTCAATTGGGATTACATTGAATCGATGCAGCAGTTTTGGAAATATGGCCATTTTCATTGTATTGGTTCTTCCTATTCAAGAACAAGGGATATCTTTCCATTTTTTTATATTCTCTTTTTTCATTGTTGTAGTTTTCAAAGTAGAGGTGTTTTACTTCATTAGGTTGATTCCTAGATATTTCATTTTTTTTGATGCTATTGTAAAAGGAATTATTTCCCCATTTTCTCGCTCAGTGAGTCTGTTGCTTGTGTACAAGAAGGCTATTGATTTTTTAGTGTTAATCTTGTATCCAGCAACTCTGAATCTGGTTATTAAGTCAAGAAGTCTTTTGGCAGAGTTTTTGGTGACTTTTATATAGTGTATCGTGTCATGTGCAAATAATTATGGTTTAATTTCTTCATTTCCTATCTTTCTTCATTTTCTTTCTTTCCCTTATCTAATTGCTGTGGCTAATGTTTCCAGAACTATATTGAGGAGTGTTGATAAGGGAAATCCTTGTCTTGTTCCTGTTTAGAGTGAAAGATTTCGGTTTTTGACTTTAGTATAATATTGGCTGTTGGTTTTTCATAGATGGCTTTTATATAAAGTCCCTCATTCCAATTTTCTGTAGGGTTTTTATCATGAATTGATGTTGAATTTTGTCAAACCCTTTTTCTACATCCTTCTAGATGATCATATGGTTTTTGTCCTTGACTCTGTTAATGTACATTTATTGATTTGTGTATGTTGAACCATCCATGCATCCCTGGGATGAATCTAACTTGGTCAGGGTGTATGGTCTTTTTGATGATCCTCTGTATTCTGTTTGTTGATATCTTACTGAAGAATTTTGCATCATTGGGGAGATTGGCCTGTAGTTCTCTCTCTCTCTCTCTGTCTCTCTCTCTCTCTCTCTCTCTCTCTCTCTCTCAATCTCTCTGTACTGGGGATCAAACTCAGGGCCTTGCAAAGCAGATGGCAGAACCACTGAGCTAAATCCCTGGCCCCTATACCCTACAGTTTTCTTTTTTGGTTGGGTCTTTCTCCGCTTTCAGAATCCTTTTCAATTTCAATCCTTTTCAATTTTATTAAAAAGTTTGAGAAGTATTGAGATTAGTATTTCCCTTAATTTCTTGTAGAATTCAGCAATAAAGCCATCAGGATCTGGTCTTTTCTTTGTTGGTTAATTTTAATTAACATTTTCAGTTTTGTTGATTGTTACTGGGTTGTTTAGAATTTTGAAATCTTTTTGGTTCAACTTTAGTAATTCGTTTGTATCTAGGAATCTGTCCATTTCTTCTGTTTCCGTCTTATTGGAGTACAGGCTCTCAAAGTAGGAATTGAAGATCCTCTGTACTTCTACTGAATCTGTTGTAATTTCACCCTTTTCATTCATAATTACATGGATTTGAGCCTTTTCTTTCCTTTTTTTGATAAGGTTAGCTAAGGGTTTGTCAATTTTATTCTTTCAAATAACCAACTCTTTTACTTCATTGATTTTTTTTTATATCATTCTCTTAGTCTCTATTGCATTGATATCTGCCCTGAACTTTATAACTTCTTGCCTTGTACATGCTTGAGTCTGTCTTGCTCTTCTTTTTCTAAGAGCTTGAGGTTCAGCATTAGGTTGCTTATTTGAGCTTGTTTGGTTTTCCTAATATGAGTATTCACAGTTATGATTTCCCTTGTAGTACTGCTTTCATTGTGTCCCATAAATTCCAGTATATTGTATTAGCATTACTATTTAATTGTAGAAAGTTTCTAACTTCTTTAATTTCCTCTGTGACCCATTGTTTGTTCAGTACAGTATTATTCAGTCTCCATGTGTTTGTGAAGTTCTTGTGAATTCTTTTGTTTTTGATCTCCAATTTCATTGCACTATGGTCTGACAGTATACAGGGAATAACTTCAAGCATGTTCTATTAGCTAGTATGTGGTCTGTTTTGGAGAGTGACCTGTGTGTAGCTGAG